TTGTCGCTTTTACTTTTCCAGGAAAAAGCCATGAGGGGAATCCGGCTGACCAAGACAGAAGGTCAGGGTGGTGCTTGGGCGGTGGCTGGGCCACAAAGGTTAATGAACCTGCTGCGGCCCTTTGCCAGCAGGTGGGGGTGTTGTGAACTCAGGCAGTGGGGCGGGGGGGGGGGCGTGCTTTCCGAACCAGCAGTCCCAGGTTCAATCCCCGCTGCTGAGAACTCCCCGGTGCAGCTGGGTTTAGAAGTGACGTGGTTGGGGCAAGGTCCTTATCCCCTTCCATCCCTTGCTGGCCCGGTCTGTGATGCTTGTCACTGTACTGGGCCTGCATCCGCATGGGGAGTCCCTAGCCCTGACCGACTCCACTGCAGCACGGCCAGGAGGAGAAACAGGCTCTTCTTTGTGTACCACAGAGCAGGCTTTGACACTGTGCTGCCTCTGTACAAAGGAGGACCAACTTCTGCCTGCCATCAGCCTTGCTGATCAGTGGCGCCTTGGGGGGGTCTGGTTCTGTGCGGTACCAGCTGCCCCAAGCACCGAGCTAAACACAGATGGTGCCACACTCACCAGTGGTTTGCAAGCGGCCTGGCAGTGAGGGATCCATCGGTGGCCCTTTGGAGAGGAGCGGTTAGGGTGCTAGCCTGCCATTTGGGAGACCCAAGTTTAATTCCTCGCTCTGCCACAGGCTTCCTGTGTGACCATGGGCATGTCGTCGGTAAAATGTCAAACCTCACTGGGTGCTGGGAGGAGAAACACATGAGATACTCGGGGGCTGTGGCGGGTATCCAGGGGATTTTGGCAGTAGGGAGCCCTGCACCTCTAGGTCATGGGTTCAGCTCCTGCCCAGGGCAATAATGATCAAAAATCATTCATCTGACTACTGGTTTGCATGAAAATGAGTTTAATGGTCCCACTAGGAACTGGCCTGTGACAAGTGTCCACAACTGGCAGGCCAGGATCAAGGAGACCTTGGAGCCACCTATGTGACCCTCCCCCAGTGGTCAGGGCTGAGGGGTACTTAGCTGCATTCAGGCCTGGTACAGAGTAAACACCCGGCTCTCCTGGAAACAAGCTAGTGAGTTGCACCACGGCGCTGCCCTGCTCTTGATGTGCCGATGTGAACTAGAGCTACACGCCCATGCCAAGGGAGGAAGCAGCCCCACTGGTCCAAGGACATCTGCCCAGGCAAACTAGGAATCCAGCTTCAGCATCCCACACTGTAATGGTGGGCGCTGTGCCCGGAGTGGACTGGCCCATCGGTCTCCAGCTGGACCCGCCCTGTAGTTAGCAGTGTCGGCGTTAGATTTTCATCCCTGCATGAGAGTCCGAGCAAAGGGTGAGCTCTGGCACCTCCTTGTCCCCAAGCAGCAGGGCTGCCCTGAGCCCTCCATGGGGAGGTGGGGCTGATGGAATGGCATGGGGTCCCCTACACACTGTCCTCTAACTCCCACTGCTGCCTCCCTGCGCAGGTGGGGGAACAGCCCAGTTCTTGACATGAGAGAGGCGTTCACAGCCTTGAGTTTCCAAGGCTAATGCATCCACTGGGCCGGGGCCGGACCTTCTGAGACCGACGTGGTTGATCTCCGCTCTGTCCTGAAGGGCTGCTCTGTTCCGACAGCTTTGGGGAAATACGGTTGGCAGCTTGGCCTCGTTTAGATGGTGAGCTGTACACACGCTGTTCCCTGCCTCGGCTCCCATCTGTCTGAGCCTGGCAGCTGTCGCTCCCCAGCCCTTCATCCTCGCTGCAGCTAACGGAACTTAAAATGGCTTTTTCAAGATGGTCTGTTTCTAATAGGCTTAGGCTGGGACCCACGTAGGGAAGGCCGATTTCCCTGGCGGCGTGGGGGAGAGAAAGATAAAGCAGGCTCCCACAATGCACTGCTCCGTCATCAGCTGTCCTGGCAGGCAGATGACCAATCAAGCCAGTGTCTCTCACATCTGACCCGCCTTCCTTGCTGTGGGGCGGTGAAGGGGTTTTTGCAGCTGATCTATGTACTCCTGGCAGGAGCTTAGCTGCAGATGCTGAGCTCGCTGATGTCTTCGATGCTGCATGTGGGGAAGACTTTGCAAAAACTGGCCGCTGGCGGGTGCGCGCCTCCAAGGCCAATACAATCTGTTGGAGCTTGCACTGTGGGTTTGGGTGCATGCGCTGGCTGGGAGGAGCAGGCTATCCTACAAATGCAGGGTATCTTAAAAATGGCCTGTTGGGGGTGCTCTGCAGAAGATCTGAATCCTGAGAAAATGCGTAGGAGCTCAAAGACCTAGAACATCCCTGGGGGGAAAAGCCCTCTTGCTTCCAGACACACCCCACCTCTAACTGCCAGAGGATGGGAAAAACGTCCTCCTGGGCATATTATTCCCAAACTGTCCTCTAGGGAGGTTCTTGCAACGTTGCATTGTCAGAGATGGGGGTACGGGCTAGATGCACAGACTACGGGTAGGTCTACGCAGGAAGGAAAAACCCACAGCTGGCCCGTGCCAGTTGACTCAGGCTCGCTGGGCTGTTTCGTTGCTGTGTAGACTTGCGGGCTGGACCCCTTGCCGAATACACGGCGTTTCAACACCGTAACCTTTACAATGCGCTCTTGAGGTCCAGCCACAGAACAATGTCCAGTTTGTTTGTTTGACAAGACCTGTGGCCCAGTTTTGTGAGAGTCTCCTGGTTTTCAGGACTATCCTGGGCTCTGGCTAAGGCTGGCCAAGATCCTGGGTTTAGCTCGGCCGCCAGCATGCCTGGCCACCTGCTGCACTGAGAATCCTAGAAAAGCAGGGCTGGGAGAGGGGACCTTGAGAAATCATCAAATCCAGCCCCCTGCACTGAGGCAGGACCGAGTAAACCTAGACCAGCCCTGACAGGGGTTTGTCCAACCTGTCCTTAAAAACCTCCAGTGCCGGGAATTCCACAACCTCCCTTGGACACCTAGTCCAGAGCTTAGCTACCCTGAGAATTGGAAAGTTTTTCCTAATATCTACCCTAGATCTCCCTGGCTGCAGATTAAGTCCATTGCTTCTTGTCCTACCCTCAGTGGACATGGAGAACAGCTGATCAACAGCGTCTTTTGTAACAGCCCTTAACATGTTTGAAGACTGTTATCATGTCCCCCCTTCAGTCTTCTTCTCTCAAGACTAAACATCTGAGTTTTTTAACCTTTCCACAGAGGTCAGGTTTTCTAAACATTTTATCGTTTTTGTTGCTCTCCTCTGGACTCTCCGATTTGTCCACCTCTTTTCTAAAGTGGGGCACCCGGAACTGGACACCGTCCTCCCGCTGAGGCCCTACCAGTGCCGAGTAGGGTGGGACAGTTACCTCCTGTGTCTTACATACAACACTCCTGTTAATACACCCCAGAATATTGGCCTTCTTCAAACCCTCATCACATAGTTTGACTCCTATTAAATTTGTGATCCCCTGTAGCCCCCAGATCCTTTTCAGCGGTACGACCACCTAGCCAGCCATTCCCTACTTTGTACTTGGCGTTTGATTTCCCCCCAGCACTTCCTACATAGAGTACTTTGCACTTGTCTTTATTGAATTTCATCTTGTTGAATTCAGACCAATGCTCCAATTTGTCACCGTCGTTTTGAATTCTAATCCTGCCCCCCCAAAGTGCTGGCGACCCCTCCCAGCTTGTGACCTCTTCAGATTTAATAAGCATCCTCTCCGCTCCGTGATCCAAGTCACTAATGAAAATATTGACCGGTACCAGACCCAGGTCTGACCCCTGTGGAACCCCCTACAAACGCCCTCCCAGTTTGGCACTGATCACTACTCCTTGAGTGCGGTCTTTCAACCACCCGTTTTATAGTAATTCCTAGTGTGCTTATGAGAGCCTCATGTGGGACGGCCTTACTAAAATCAAGAGATCCCCATCTGCAGCTTCCCCTCTATCCGCTGTGCCAGGAACGCTGTCAAAGAAGGACATTCGGTTGGTTTGACGTGATTTGTTCCTGACTGGTGCTGCCAGCCCACACCCTGGCCAGAGGGAGCAGTATAGGGTCACCAGATGTCCTGATTTTATAGGGCCAGTCCCGATTTTTAGGTCTTTTTCTTATATAGGCTCCTATTACCCCCCCCCACCCCCTGTCCCGATTTTTCACATTTGCTGTCTGGTCACCCTAGAGCCGTACGGCCTCCACCTTCACAGCCCCTGCCACCTGCTCATGCCCAGAGCCTGACCCAGCTTCGTCGGGGCAGGTCCTTCACCAGGCCCTGCAGGAGCAGCAATTCTCTCTTTCCCCCCCCCCACCACCACCAGCCGTCCCCTCCAGCAGCTCCCCCTTCCTTTCCTTCCCCAGCACTGCTCTCTCCTGTCCACCCCAAGGGCCTTCTGCCCCGCCGCTGCCCCCCTCCAGCCCCGTTCCAGCCACGCTGCCCTCTCCTCGGTGGTGGGGAACGAGGGGCAGGGAAGAGTGACCAGAGAGGGAGAGCAGAAGGCTGGTGGGCTAGGACAATTCCCTAACATGCCTCCCCTTCCCTCTCGTATCTTCCCTGTGAGCCCCTCCCCTCCTGTTTTTTTTTTCCCTGATGGGTCCTGTGGCCACAGGTAGTGGTAAAGCTACGTCCTTGGCACCCACATGCCCCAGTAGCTGATAGCAGATAGGCGGAGGGAGGGGGCGGAATTGGTCACTGCTGTCTCGGCAGCTTTTCCCATGCCACACTCGGGAGGGGCAGGGCAGGGGAAACTAAAATATTTGAAGGAGCAAGTGGTTTGGGGGCAGAGGAGACCCTGCTTTTTGGGGGCGGCCGGCTTGGGGTTCAGAGGATGTGGAGGGCTCCCAGTTCCGACAGGCCACATGCAGCTTTGTATTCCTCAGCCCTGGGCCTTTTCAGCCTCTCCTCATACAGAACCTTTTCCCTGCCCATCTCTGGGCCCAGCCCTGCCTGCTCTCCCCTGCTTAAGTCCATCACAGCTGGCAGCTGGGGAGGGGAGGTGTCGGTCTTGCGCGTTCACGAGACCTCTCTGTGCACAGCTGACCTTGTCCCCTTGTGTCTGGTTTAGCATCACCAGGAGAAGAGCCCCTCGCCAGTGCCCGGCATTGCCCGCTCCGCCACGGCACTCGCTTACCACGAGCACTACGCCTCGCCCGGCCCCGTCAAGAGCAAAGCCCTGAAGACTGAGAAAGACGCGGCGTTGCCCTCCTTCTCCTTGGGCGGTAAATACGTTTCCGCGGGAGCAGAAGTGTCGGTGGGAGATGGGGAGGGTGGATGCAGATTGCAAGGCAGTTGGCATGAGAGGGAAGAGCCACGGGCAGTGTGCGCGTGTGGCAGGCTGCGGAGTCCATGAGTGGAAAGCCCCCGCTCACAGTAACGCAAAAGCTGACCCTGCTGCGTGGGTTTGCCCCATGAGGTTCTGGTCAGGGTGGTGTCAAACGTGGGCTATCGGGACCCACGTGCAGAATTCTCCTGCTGAAGGAGCTGAGCGCACCTCTAGGTCTCGGCCGTCACCTCCCACCTGTGTTAAGACAGCATGTCCCTCGTCCGGTTCCATAGAGGCGGTGAACTAGACGAGCGCCAACCTTTCTCCCTTCCAACCCCCGTCTTCCCATTCTGAAACCTTCCTGCTCCAATCTTTCAGGCTTGGCTGGGGGGGCAGGCAAGGTGACTTAGTAGATCAGACTAAGACGGTGGAAAGACCCCTCCAGCGTCTCTCTTGGAATTATGGGAGAACAGGGAAAGAAATGCTTTTCCCACTTGAAAAAATTTCCAACCCTGTTCAGACTAGCTGAATGTGGACCACCCCCCCCCCCCCGCCCGTCTGCCCCCATCCCAGGTCTGGACCGTGGCATAGCCCTGGTGGTGGTGAAGATCTAGTGTATCACCTTAGTTTTCGGGGTGGGGAAATCCATTTGGGTCGACGATAATTCTGACGTCCAAAGTGCATCCTGCATGTGCTCTGTAGGAATCGTCCCTAGGCTAGAGACGCCCGTGTGTAGGGCTGTTCTGGACCTGCCCTTCTTGGATCCAGCAGCTAACAAGCTCATTGCCAAGAATAGTTCTTTGCTGCAGAGCAAATGGAGCCTCAGAACTTAGTGCACGAGCTGGACATTGGCTTTTAAATGGCCTTGAGGCCTTGGTTTAAAAAATTTTAAAAATTTTAAATAATGGAGATATCCCATCTCCTAGAACTGGAAGGGACCTTGAAAGGTCATAGAGTCTAGCCCCCTGCCTTACTAGCAGGACCAAGTACTGATTTTGCCCCAGAACCCCAAGTGGCCCCCTCAAGGATTGAACTCACAACCCTGGGTTTGGGTGGGAAGTGGAAGAGCTGGTTCTTTGCCCCCAGATGCCCTGTGGAGGGGCCTGGCTGTGGCTCCCTCCCAACGCGGCTCACAAACCTTTCCGAAGCGTTCAGGCTGAGAGCCTGCATCAGGAAGCCAGGCCGCAATGTCGGAGGTCTGCGCTGCGGCTGGCCTGTGCCAGCTGACTCGGGCTAAGGGGCTGTTTAACGGCAGTGTCGACCTTCCCACCTTGCAGGGTCCTAGATCCAGCCTGAGGCCAAACATCTCCACCGCACTGAAACAGCCCCGTAGCCCGAGCCCCCCACGCCCGAGTCGGCTGGCACGGGCCAGCCGCGGGTTTTGAATGGCAAGGTAGACAAACCTAGATGCTTCCAATAAAAACCCAACACCCAGGTTCAGCGTGAAAAGGAATCCAAACGCTGAGAAGCAGGGAAGTGGCACCCAACAATGGCCTTGTCGAAATACGGAACGCGGAGACCACCACGACCGCTGAAATACCCCCTGTGCCGAACGCGCTCCTGGTCTGATGGCCTCCGCCTGGTATTGGCAAGAGCTTCGCTATGCCCTGGGCAACGCTACTCTTGACTGCAGCTCAGCCTCGCCAGGCTGCTGGGAGCTCGTCTCAGGTGGCCACGCTCGCATCGTAATTCTGGATCTCTCCAGCAGGCTACAATGACCCGGCTGTGTCGGGCAGCCAGATGCACCCAACGGGAAGTGGAGGCAGCGGGGCTCAAGCTCAGGACCTGCGGCTCCCGAAGCGCAGACCCCTCCCAGGTGAGCTCGGGGAGTAGCAGTGCATGGGGGGCCGGGGGGAGGGGGAGGTAGAACTGCGATCCCAGCAGGTCCACCCTCTTCCAGCAGAGGGCACCGCTCCAGGTATATTCAGGGGCACAACTGTTCATCCGTTTTCTTTAGGGAGACTAATTCGAACTTGTCCCTTAAATGTTAACCTGGGATTCTTACTAGAGAAGGGGAAGGAGTTTGGGTTCAGGCCAGATTCCTTTACTGTATTCCTGGGTTAATCAGCTAAACTCTTCCTGTTCGCCCTGAGAACTGTCCCGCGAGAAGACCCAGAGGGGCGGCGCCGGAGGAGGTGGCAAGGGAAAGCAGTGGCTACCTGGAGCAGGGGAGAGAGACCAGGCAGTGGCAGGAGAGAGGCAGAGGTGGGAAGAAGGAGGCGGGGAAAAGGGACGTGATGGAATATTTCTAAGGGAGAACTGAAGCTTTGGACCCTTCGTCTCTGGTCCAAGCAGAGCCCAGGCCGATGGGGACTGGAAACTGTTGCCATCTGACCACTCAGCAGCCTGTATGCAGGGGCGGCTTTAGGCACCAGCGCACCAAGCGCGTGCCTGGGGCGGCAAGCCGCAGGGGGCGGCCTGCCGGTCGCTGTGAGGGCGGCAGTCAGGCTGCCTTTGGCGGCGCGCCTGCGGGAGATCCGCTGGTCCCGTGGTTTTGTCGGCAATTCGGCGGCGGGTACGCCAAAGGCGCGAGACCGGCAGACCTCCTGCCGGCATGCTGCTGAAGGCTGCCTCACTGCCGTGCTTGGGGCGGCAAAATACATAGAGCTGTCCCTGCCTGTATGACATGAGTTCGGTGGGTCTCATCAGGGACACACATCACCCCTGCGCTCCGTGTGAATTGGCCCCGTTGGTTGCTCATCTCAGCAGAGAGCCCCAGCCTGAATGAGCCATTGGGGATCCCACCAGGTCAGGGGTGAGGTATGCTGTCGGGGGCGCAAACGGCCATTGCCACCATCTGCACCCCTTTCCTGGGTGAACCCGCTATGTTTCACATCTGCAGGGTCTCTGGCCCAAGCCAGCTAATTCTGATGCCGGCAGGGAAGGACCAGCAAGGCCATGCACATGTTCTGGGGAGGAGGGAGGACATGAAGGCAGGGAAGCTGTTGGGGCTTGGGAGAGAAATGACTCCAGTGACTCTCTCCTTCCAGGGAAGCACTACCCGTGCTCCAGCTACGGCTGCAAACTGGCCTTCCACAGCATGCAGGAGCTTATGGATCACATGAGAGTCCACTACAGACCCACCCAGTCCCTGGAGGGTAAGGCCTGGCTTGCATATCATCCCAGCGGGGTGCTGGAAGAAGGGGGGGCCTTGCTGCCGAGGGGTGGGGTGTCAGGACACCACATGCTAGGGCAGGCTAGATGCCTGAGATGTGGAGGCCTTGTTATCCCTTCCCAGTGCTTCCTCTGGGGCATCAACCTGGCTGTTCTACTGCGTTGGTTTGCTATGGATGGCTGTGCAGCTCGTGAAGAGACTCCAGCCTGTGGGTTGCGCGTGAGCATTTGTTGGAGCGGTGATTGTCCACTGACGTCGCATGGCCTTGCTACCCACTGATTGGCTGGTTGGAACTCGTGTGCAGGGAGAGTGCAAACTCGTCGAGTGACAACGGCCGGGGTTACGGGGGCTTGGCCCCGGCACAGGTGCTGGACTCTCCCAGGAGCTCAGTGCTCAGTTGCTCCAACAAGGAACAACGGGAGACGCTGGGTACTCTGGCCGTAACTTTGTATAGCAGTGCGTGGGAATGGGAGCTCGTAGCTATAAACCCCCCACCCCAGACAGTGTGAACCGGCACTAGCCCAGCCAAGTGTTCGCAAACAGCAGCTCCCTGATCCCAAACGCTCAGCCCACTGGCTCTGACTGTACAAACACTCACTGATGTGCTCCTGTTGCTTGGGAGCTAGATCCAATCTGCCCCTTGGCTGTCCGAGGAGAAGCTAATTCACTAACTTCCCCACCCCCAGGTTCTCTTCCGAAGCCCCTCCCCGCACCCCCTCATCTTATTAGCCACTCGCTGCCGAGCCGCTGCTCGTAAACTGTCCAATTAACCTGAGGGGGGGTTGATTTTGGGGTTTTTTGGGGGGTGGGGGAGTTGAAATTTCCCTTGCTGTGATAACAAGGTCCCCTGCCCTCCCTTGCAAATACACTAACTCCTCGCTTAACGTTGGAGTTCTGTTCCTGAAACATGCAACTTTAAGTGAAACTATGTTAAGTGAATCCAATTTCCCCATAAGAATTAATGTTAATGTGGGGGGTGGGTTAGGTTCCAGGGAAACTTTTTTCACCAGACAAAAGACTATATGTGTGTGTGTGTGTGTGTGTGTACACAGTATAAGCTTTAAACAATTTAATACCGTACACAGCAATGATGACTGTGAAGCTTGGTTGAGGTGATGGAGTCAGAGGGTGGGATATTTCCCAGGGAATGCCTTACTGCTAAATGATGAACTAGCACTCGGCTGAGCCCTCAAGGGTTAACACATTGTTAATGTAGCCTCACACTCTACAATGCAGCACGAATGAAGGGAGGGCAGACCGCATGGCAGACAGAGACACGCACCCTGTGTGAGAGAGCAAGAGATGCGCTTTACCCCTTTAAGTACACTGACCCCACTCTAAGTACATTGCCTTTTTAAGTAGATCAGCAAGCTCCCTCCGTCCTGAGTCCGTTTTGTCCCCCCTGCTCTATGGAAGATGGGTTAAGTGGGGGGCAGGAGCAGGGGGGAGGGGGACACCCTGACATTAGCCTCCCTCTTCCCCCTCCACACAGCAAGCAGGAGGCTCCCGGGAGCAGCTCCAAGGCAGAGGGCAGGAACAGCACACAGCAGTGGGGGTAGGGACAGCTGAACTGCCGGCAATTGATAGCCTGCTGGGCGCCTGCCGCACGGGAACGTAGGGGAGCTGATAGGGGGGCTGCCAGCCCACCTGGTTCCAAGCCCCCACCAGCTAGCTCCAACGGGCTGCTCTTCCTGCAAGCAGTGGACAAAGCAGGCGGCTGCCAAACGACGTTCTAAGGGAGCATTGAGCAACTTTAAACCAGCATGTTCTCTGACTGATCAGCGACGTAACAACGTTAACCGGGACGACGTTAAGTGCGGAGTTCCTGTAGAGGTTCCGAGTGTGTTTACAGCGGTGAACGGTGTGCGTGTCGAAGGGGCTGGGCTCCCTAACCATTGCGTAGCTGGTTATAAAGAATCCCCTCGATATAAGCTGAGAACGTTGTGTCTACGGTGGACCTGACTGTGGGTGTCTCGCTGACCCCTCTGCCCCTCTTCTGACAGGTAAAATATTCCACTGCCCCACCCAGGGCTGCACGGACACTTTCCCCAGCATGCAGGACCTGGTGGCTCACATGAAGGTGCACTACAAGCCAAACCGCTACTTCAAGTAAGTCCCCCTCTTTGGGTCACAGAAATAAGGCCCCTTCTTCCCCTCCCTCACCGACCCCTCTCACTGGTCCCAGCGCGTCCAGAGCCCCCAGATCTCCTAGGCAGGGCACTGCGCCCACCAGGCTATTCACCAGGGCACTGGCGTCACTGTGCCAAGCAGTGGGGCTCTCTCCTGGGGAACCACTCCGTGCTGTCCCTCTGCTTGTGGTGGGGGCCCTTGTGGGATCCAATGGGCCAGTTCTTCTCCCTCCTCGGCGTTGGCTTTGTCCTCTGGGCTCTAGAGTCCCGCAGCCCAATGGGTCCCGCCTCCGAGGGTCGGGGTCTGGGCAGCCACTGCCTGTTCCACTCCCGCCGGCCGCGGCGCGACTGCCAAGGTGGCAGCACCTCTGGCCGCACAACATGGGCAGTGCAGCAGGGGGTGACAGCTGACCAAAGAGGGGCACGCGGCCGCTGGCACGGCTGTGCCAACCCCAGGGGCAAGAGGCAGCTGCAGTACTGGCTCCGGTTTCGGGGGAAGGGTCGGGTCAAAAAATGGCTCAACCTTAGCGGGGTCTGGTGGGTTTGGGCCCAGACCTGTACTCCGGCCATGTGCCTGGGATGGCTCCTTTCTCCATGAGAGAGATTTCCTGGTCCGCTCGGCTGAGCCTGCAGGCCGGCGGCTTCCCCTCGGGCCGGGCCGTTGCAGACTCGCCCTCTCCTGTCGCTCCCCAGGTGTGAGAACTGCCTGCTGCGCTTCCGGACCCACCGCTCCCTCTTCAAGCACCTGCACGTCTGCTCCGACAGCGCCAGCAGCCCGGCTCCGGCGCCGAAAGCCGAGAGGCCCACCCCACCTGCTACCTCCGGTCTGGAGAAGGACCCCCCGGCCAAGCCGCTGGAGGGGCTGCCCAAACTCCAGAGCGTCATCCGGCACATGGAGAAAGAAGCCATCCTCCCCAGCATGGACGCTGTCTCCACCGCCGTGCCAGCCTCACTCCCGACTAGTCTCCACGGCTCCCTGGAGTCCATGCCCCTGGTCTCTCCGGCCTCCCACCCGTTCCCTCTGCTGGAACCCTCGCTCTTCGGGCCGTCGTCCTTGACCCGGTTCTCGGGCCAGCCTCACTCCTCGGTGCCGGGGCCTTTCCTGTCCTACATGCACCCCTCTCCCTACAGCCTACCTCAGGCTTCGGTTCAGCATCGCCTCAGGCCGTACTTGCCCAGCCAAGGCCTCCCCGTCTCCAACGCTGTGTGGAAGAAAAGTCAAGGTGAGAACACAGGGCCAGCAGGTAAAATCTGTCGTCTTCAGCTGGGAATCCCCCAGGCTACAGCAAACCTCCTTCCAGGCTCGCCCCAGATCGCTGCTGCCAGAACCCACAGGCGGGCGGGGAGGCACTTCCAGCCGAGGACGCTACCCACCAGCTGCCCTGTCCTCCCCTTGCCACCCTGAGAACCAGAGATCCCACTTGCGCAAGTGCCCAGATTCCCTCTGTCCCGGGCTCCATGGGGTGGGTGCCAGTGGCCATTTCTCCGCCCCTCGTCCCAACATCTCGCCCCCCACAGACAAGCTGCTCCTTGGGGAAACTTGAGAGCAAGGCCCACGTCTCTCCTGGCGGGCTCCCCGGACGTGGGGCGTGAGGCACGATCCCATTTGTCCTGCTCTGTTTGCCAAGGCCTGGGGGAGTATTGGGCTGAATCTTCCGCTGGCTCCACCAGCCTCCACGGAGATACCACGCCAGCGGAGAATTCGCCTCTCGTTCTGTAACCGAGGCCGTGACGCCTCCCTGGCCTGTTCCTCCCTCCCTCGCTCCCTCCCACCAGCCTGTGGCCGCCATGCTCGGCTGGTGAGTCCCGCTCCCTTTCCCGTCATGGCCGTCGTCGGCCTGCGCTGGGGACCCCTTCGGCGCAGGAGCTGGTGGAGGAGGCGCCCCGGCGACAGCTATTGTGACTGCTGCCCAACTAACGCCCTGGCAAACCTGCGGATGGAGTGGGCACCGGGACGTGTTCCTGGCTCTCATTTGCTCCAGTCTGAAAGTCACTCCCTGTGCTTAAAAAAAAAAAATCGCCCTTCAGCTCCCCCCGCCCCCCCACACCCAATCTCTGTCCCGCTTCCACCCCCTGGAACTGTCCGTGGACTCCTGCGGGGGCAGCGCCTGGAGTGATGCCCCCTGGTCCTGTCAGCCTTGTTCTGAAAAGCCAGTGGCAGCTGATCCGAGCCAGGGCCTCTTGGTCGCGTCCCTTCCCCCCCAGCCAAGGGAGGGGAAGGCCTAATGCTTGTCTCGCCCCTCGATTCCCTTCGCAGGTGTGTGTGTCGGCCCACGCCTCCCATGCTTTGGCTCAGGTGTGACTTCAGGTTAGTTCGGCACCTCTCGGCTTTGGGCTGCTCTCTGGTCACTGGGTGGTGCTGCTGTGCAGTGAGGGGGTGACCTGCCCTGGGAACTGGGGAACCCAAGGGGAGCGGGGGGAGGGCTTGAATTAGCCATGTCACACAGGACAGCAAGGGGCTCTCCTCGGAAGGCCCAAGGGCACCACCCAGGGGGCAAAACAACCACAATACGTGTGGTTGAGTGGCTTAGTCCAATAACCGTTCATTCCCTCTGAAGCACCTGGCATTGGCCACTGTTGGAAGACAGGCTACTGGGGGAGATGACCCAGTCTGGCCGTTCTGGTGTTCTAACCTGCAGCCCTATGCCCTGATTGCCTGTACGCTAAGCAGCGTCAAGACTGCTCAGTCACTGGATGGAGACCTCCGAGCTCCTCCATAGGGGACATAGTACGGAGGCCTGGTATTAAACTGCTGACGTATCTCTAGCTGAGACGGGAGGGTGCTGCCTGCCCGGGGTGGGGGGAATCGATCTGGTGGTGAGAGGCAGTTGTCTGGGACTGACCGCTGCGGTGGTGTCTTGATGGACAAGACTCCTTGTTGAAACCCAACCCTGGGCGGGCCTGGCTTTGTTACCCTGAGCCCGACGCCGTGTGCTGTGGTGCTAGTGTGTGTCTATGGGGTGCTGGCCCTGATATCTGGGGAGGGATAGTGGCCCTGCAGTTTCTGGGGGCTCTGACCATTTGCTCCCCTCCACTCGGTATAGAGCAGGGATGATCTCGGAGGCCTGGCTTCTCTTGGAAACAGCGTCCGCCTGGCCTGTCCCTGTTGGACCCCATGCCAAACCTGGGAGGCGTGGGAAATGAGCTGTTCTACTGTGATACCAGGGAGGCTTGGATTTCCCCAGCCGAGTCAAGCGTGTGGTAGAGAAGGCTTTGGGCAGGGGAATGACCTGCCCTTTGGGGCGTAAACTGGAACAGCCGCTGGCCCAGCCCCCTGCCCCTCTTCTGTGTTAGGGGCGTTACAATAGCAGCGAGAGGCACCAGGGACCCAGGCCGCCCTGCCGGGTGCTGCCCAGAGAGAGACAGTCCCTGCCCCAAAGCGCGCACCATCTCAAGAGACAAGACAGACCAAGGGCGGGAGGGGACCAGCTGGTCAGCGGCAGAACTGGGAATAGAACCCAGGCGTCCTGAATCGCAGTCCAATGTACCATGCTGCCTGCCTTGGCCTTTGGATCTCCCATTCCCACGGCCATCAGCTGCTGGGTGTGTTTCAGGGGGCGTGGCCCAGGTGCTGCCATTGTGGTGGTGAACAGCTGCGCATGCCTCTCGGGGGGGAAGGGGTTGGCCGTGCAATTGCTCTCCCCGGGCACTAGCAAGTCAACGCACACGCTTTCCGCCCCCTGTGCTGCAGGCCACTCCTCCAACAGCCGCATCGTGTGGGAGCACACGCGAGGGCGCTACACCTGCATGCAGTGCCCGTTCTCCAGCGCCACGCGGGAAGAGATGACGCTGCACATTGAGGATCAGCACAAGAATCCACCCCTGCCCGGCCGGCTGGATGGAGAGATGGGTGCGCTGCAGCGGGGGGAGCTGGGGGACGGGGATCTGGCCTGCTTGCTGGTGGGAGGAGCTGAGCGGGGGATCTTGAGCCCCAGAATTCAGCCTAGATTCCTTTGCATGACAAGTGTTCCCGTAGTGGGAGCGGGTCATAGCCCAGCTTCCCAAAGTCACACCCTTCCCCAGAGCCTGACAGCGCTGGAGTTTGCCTCTCCTGGCTGGAGAAGCAGGGAGCCTGGCTTGGAGAGGTTCGGGGGGAGGAAAACATGTCTCTGACTGATCTAGGGAGGGGACGCTGCCCCAATGCACAGGGAGCGGAGAGATGTGGACCCTGCTAAAGCTGCCCGAGAAATGGCCCCTGATGTTAACTGCTTCCCTACTTGTCTCGGAGCTGCACCAACTCCATCCTCCCCCTTGGCTGGGAAACCTGCCCCTTGCCCGGCTGTCCTGGCTGACGTGCTCCTAGAGGGGCCAGCTGCACCCACAAGCCCAGAACAACGGGCTGGTTCTACCAAACTGCAATGGCCTTGGACTTATCAGGCTTCAGAGTCAGTCGAGGTGCCTGGAGCAGATAACGGCCGGGGCCTTTCTGCAAGCTCCCGAAGGCAGCTGTATTGGACCCAACCAGGTTTTCTCGGTCACCAGCTAGGCTCGAAGCTCGCCTTCTACACCAACACAATGGCCTCCGCTGAGCTGCAACCGCGGGGCGGGAAGCCAGAGCGCTGGCCCCACGCAAGCTAGGAGGCCATGCACCCAATGCCCCACTTCGCCACAGCCTCTCGAGCAGCCGCCCGGGAGCTGGCGGATTTCTTAGCGCTGATGGGTCTCCCTTGTGCTTCTCTTGCAGACTTCGGCGTCGGCCTCGCCTCCTTCCACTCAAAGCTCCCGCCGGAGATGGAGAACTCCCTGTACTCGCAGCTCTGATGCCAGGGGCGGGGAAGGAGATGTGCACGGGAATGCCGTAGGAACGGGTGTACGTAAAGGCCAGGGCTGCAGCAGGAACCTACCCCCCCCGTCTTCCCATGCTGTGTTTGCACCCCTCCCCTCCCCCCTAGCCATGCCACTGACTTCAAACTGTGCACTGCAAAGAGTTTGGGCAGGGAGAGGCTTTTTCTTAGGTTTTTTTTTTTAAACTTTAATTTAAGTCCTGGGAGCTTGTGTGTGTCTTCCCCCCTGCTCCAGATCTTATTGCTTCAGGCACAAGGGTTCTCTGTAGAGCCTGGTAGAGTTGCTCAGGAGTTAGTGGACTTCTTCTCGGGGGATGAGGTCGCTAAGAAATAAATGGGAATTGGACAGAAGGGTCTCCGTCTGCTCTGTGTCGTGCTGCTTTGGGCATGGCCTCTCCCCGGGCGGGGAGCAGGCGTCCGAGCGGCAGGGCTGTAAGCGTGGGCTGCAGCCGGGTAAAAGACTGGTGTGAGTTTCCCTGGGGGGATAGAGCTGGATGCAGGAACGCTGCATGGGGAGGGCTCTACGGGAGGGGGGCTGGCTAGGCAGTAGCTTCAGGGCAGGATAATTGATTTTTAACAGGGCAAGGGCCAGCCCTGCCTCCCTCAGAGCACTGTGCCAGGAGGACAGGGAGGCTAACCTCCAGGATTCTGCTTTTTGGGGAGCAGGAAACTGACAGCATCAATCTAGGCGTAGGGAGCTGGCCAGAGCAGGCTCGCTGGGTTCCGCTGGCAGTGCCTGCAGGCTGGGACCTGCTGTGCAAACGCCCAGCCCCTCTTTGCCCTTTAGCGCTTACGCTCTAAGAAAACCAAGCAGAGCGCGCTGTGTCTCACAGCAGGGGAGACAGAGGCAGAGAGTGGGTGGGTCCGGTTCTCCAAAGGGCTCCCCCGAGCTGTGCCGCATGCTGTGTGTGAAACAGGCCCCCTCAGTCTGGACCTTCCTGGGGTCTGAGCCTGGCTAGAAATCTGACCCTCAGGGTCTTGCCCCGAGCTACGGCTGTAGCACCGGAGCGTGGTTGTTTCCGGCAGCAACAGGTTTTGTTCTGCTGACTGGTTAATCCAGCGCTCGGGGACAGGAGAGCAAGGGCGCCGGAAGACTTCTGCTGATCCAGCTGTATCTGCCCGAGGGGGGAGGCGAACCTGCCTACAGGGTGCAGGGAGTAGGATGGAGCAGGATCAAGTGTAACCCCAGGCCCGAGAGAAGGGGAAATTCCCTCCACTCCTGCTGCAACTGGGTCATGGCCCAAACGGTACCGAAGCGCTGCCTTTGCCTTGCAAGCGAGGGTCACTGACGGTAGCGGCAGCCAAACCTGTCAAGAGGCGAGAGCGGGTTTTTGCTCAGTAAAACCACTTCAGCCTGGCCAGGTTAAAATCCTCCCTCATTGGCGGGGGGCTTGTGATCTCCTGGCAGCCTGCTTTAAGAAAACCTGAGCTGATACCCACCTACCTCTTCTCATGCCAGCCAGAGCCTGTTCCAATCTCACGGGGGTGGGAGGGGGGGTAAAGAAGAGAGAGAAGCTACTTTTAAACACTGCCCTACACAACCTGCAGCTGTTTGGCCTCACCTGATAATGAGTTGTATTGAAGTGGTGCCCACGGGCCCCAAGCAGGAGCAGGGTGACCCCTCCTCCCCCCCCATGCGAGGTGCGCTACATGCACTCCAGGAAGGGAGAGGGCTTGGTCCACGGATCTTACAAGCAAGACCAGGAGGCGGCAGAAGAACAGCTCGCTGCCCAGACCGGGCGTCGGGTGCGTGGCCTTTTCCCAAGTGCAGCCCAAGCAGTTACTCTCGTTTACCACCCACCCCCAGTGCTGCAGTAGCAGCCTCGAAGCAGCCGTGGTGCTAGGTTCACCATTCCTAAGAACGGCCGTACCGGGTCAGACCAAAGGTCCATCCAGCCCAGTGTCCTGTCTTCGGCCAGTGGCCAATGCCAGGTGCCCCAGAGGGAATGAACAGAACAGGTAATCATCAAGTGATCCCTCTCCTGTCGCCCATTCCCAGCTTCTGGCAAACAGAGACTAGAGACACCATCCCTGCCCATCCTGGCTAATAGCCATTGATGGACCTCTCTCTCTTTCTCTCTTCTCCCCCTCCCCCCCCCTGGACTTGTCTAGTTCTTTTTTGAACCCTGGTAGTCTTGGCCTTCACAACATCCTCTGGCAGAGTTCCACTGACTGTTTGTATGAAAAAAAAATACTTCCTTCTGCTTGTTTTGAACTCACTACCTATTAATGTCATTGGGTGACCCCTAGTTCTTGTGTTATGAGCTGGAGTAAATAACACTTCCTTATGTACATTCTCCACACCCATCATGCTTTTATAGGATGTGCCTCCCCCAATCATATCCCTCCTCCCTTAGTAATTTGTTTCCCAAGCTCAAAAGTCCCAGGTCTTAGTATTCTCACCTCATAGGGAAGCTGTTCCATCCTCTTCTTCATTTTTGTTGCCCTTTTCTGTCCCTTTTCCAGTTCCAATATCTCTTTTTTTGAACTGGGGCAACCAGATCTGCATGCTGTTTTCAAGAGGGGGGCATACCATGGCTTTATATAGAGGCAATATGATATTTTCTGTCTTATCTATCCCTTTCCTAATGATTCCCAACATTAACTTTTTTAGCTGCCCCCACACATTGAGGGGCTGTTTTCAGAGAACTATCCACCACGCTCTCTTTCTTGCATGGTAACAGCTAATTTAGACCCCATCATTTTATATATCTAGTTGGGATTATGTTTTCCAGTGTGCATTACTTCACATTTATCAACATTGAATTTCAGCTGCCATGTTGTTGCCCTGTCATCCACTTTTGTAAAGTCCCTTTGTAGCTCTTCGCAGTCTGCTTTAGACTCAACTACCTTGAGTAGTTTTGTATCATCTGCAAATTTTGCCACCTCGCTGTTTGCCCCTTTTTCTAGCTCATTGATGAATAAGTGGACCAGCCCTGGGCCCAGTACAGATCCTTGGGGGACACCATTATTTATCACTTTCCATAAAGCAAAGCACTTCCTTTGAAGCGGCCCAACAAGGACCTGGACCAAGGGACCACTTTACTCCCCGACCTGCTCCACAGGCTGGGGCTGGGAAATACAAACAGTGGCACCATTGTCCCAGGTTGCCCTGGGAAAACCACCCCATCTCTGCTGCCCGGGCTGAATGTTCAGCAGAGGACTGAGCCAAGCTGCTGGAGTTACACACCACCCTCTGGGTAAGGGGCAAACTAATGCAGGAGTGAGGCTGCTAGTCTGGTAGCCACAGGGTCTGCCCCAGCCCTGGGGGATCTTGGACAAGTTTCTCTTGCTGGTCCTCAGCTGTAACATGGATTTAATACTTGGCTACCTGCAACATGGAAATTGGCTCTCCCTCCTATGACGCCACCTCCCACCCACCTTTCCCCCCAAGGCTCAATTCTGACTCTGGTCATATTTGCCTTCACTAGGTGAAGCAGATCGGATGCCAGGAACCCAACCAGCACAGCTAGGCAGATGGTACCCAGCTCTACTTATCCTTCCCCCATGGCTCGGATGAGATCAGCAGGCGCAACCTGAGCACGGCAGAGGTGCTGCGGGGGGAGGGGGGGAAGAGGAGAGGAGGGGTACACCAGGAACGCACTTTGAAGCATCTGCAGCTGTAGCCTAGGCCCTGGTTGACGCTTCACCCCCACACGTGGTCAATTCAGGAGACTCCTGGAGACCTCACCAACACTGAGCTCTCACATAGCTGCATCTGCTAGTGACGCTTGCTCTCATCACCCATTGGCTGGGAGACTCTGTCCTATCCTGGTGAATGATGCTCTGGCATCACTTATACCAGTCTTTATCCCCACTCAGCTGGCCCATAGCAACACCATATACCTGTGTGACGAAGTGGGACTGTTCTTAATGTTTCCCCTAATACTGTGTGGGTGCCTCAGTTTCCCCTATGCATTTCTTAAGTCTCTAGGTGGTGGGATAAAGGCCAATGTGCATAAATCACCAACACTATCTCCTAGCAACAAATAGCCGGGGCCCTTCCCCCCTGCAAGGAAATAGCTAAAGGTGAACAAAGAGATCAGGTGACCTCCTGGCCCAGGGGGAAAAAGACAAAGCCCAGAAGAGGAGGGGGTTTCTGTTTGGAGCTGGCTGGGGACTAGGAGTGAGGGCAGACAGGAGTGTCTGGCTCGCTGGACCGAGGAGCTCTGTTTTAGACTGTTCCTGTCATCTAATAAACCTCTGTTTTACTGGCTGGCTGAGAGTCACCTCTGACAGCGAAGTGGGGGTGCAGGACCCTCTGGCTTCCCCAGGACCCCGCCTGGGCGGACTCGCTGTGGGAAGCATACGGAGGGGCATATGCTGAATGCTCCCAGGAGAGACCCAGGAGGTGAAGCCATGTGAGCTTCTTGCCCTGAAGACAGTCTGCTCCGAGGGAGAGGATGCTCCCCAACGTCCTGACTGGCTTTGTGGGGAGCAGTTCCAGAGCATCGTCCGGGGACTCCGTGACATCCAGCCCTTAGGAAACCCTTAACTAAGAACACTGCGCCCAGCTCCTCAGCCTAACGTGAGCACATCAAACCTGCCTGCGGCCCTCTACACTGGTTTCTTGGCCCTTTTCAGGCATGCCATGACCTGGGCCACGCACATGTCTCCGACCTGCCTTCTCCAACATAAACAGAGCAACGGGATCATTAAGACATTCCAAAACAAAACCCTACCCAAACAAACCACTCCACCCACCTTCAAGTCTCCCCCGGGAAAGAGGACAGGAGCAAACAAGACAGATGCTGCAGGTCACATTGCTTGATGCACTAGTGCAGGGTTCTCAAACTTCCTTGCACTGACAACAAAAATTACTACATGACCCCAAGAGGGAGGACCAAAGCCTGGGTCCGCCCAAGTCCCACCGCCCTAAGCTAACCCTGGCGACCGCATTAAAATGGGGTTGTGACAAGAGAGGTAAAATATTAAATGGTTAACCAGTAAGCATTAGTCTGACCAGTTAACCAACCCTAGCCATTAACCCCCCACGCTAGCCACGCTGCCCGGAGCGGCCCCAGCCCCTCTCCCTTTAATTGGTTAACCGATTAAACAATAGAACTGTTTAAATGGTTAACTTTTTAAACAATATTTACGTGCCTAGTCGTGACCCACTTTGGGGTCCAGACCCACAGTTTGAGAACCGCTACTCTAGTGGAAGGCATTCACATACCACAGCGATGAGAACTTGGAGAACAGGTCCTAGGGTACTGTGGTAAGGGGGAACTCTACAGTTCTCTTACACAGAGCTAGTCAGAGAGAAGGGGTAGACAGCCACTCTGGGCTATGAGACTCCCCCTACCCCAGCACAGGTGATGAGCAGTTCCTCCAAGACCATGGAAGGG